TGAGACCAGGAGTTCTAGGTGGTTACTGGGCACTGACCACAGATGGGAGCTGTTCTGGTAATAGCCATAGCATGTGAACCTCCATCTCTGGTTGGAAGTCACAGGACCCACTCTGAAAAGGGCCTGGAAGAGACCAGTGTTTGTTTTCTGTGAAGGCATGGTACTGGAGAATTTCTGATCTTCCTCCATTAGAATGAAACTATAATATTTCTCTTGTGAGGAGCACTGAAGTGTCGTATACTCTCGTGACTTCACCACAGGACTGTCGTTGGCTGACAAGAAGACTTTGCTGAGGTAGACTCCTAGGTGAGAAGCGGAAGCTTATTCAGTGGACTCATTGAGGTATACATTTGCCCCTCTTCTGGGGTTTGAGAAATGGAACCCAAAGTGAACATATCCCTTTTTTCAAAGCAGGTCTTGGGGGTGGGATGAGTCTTCTCACCTGTCACCACCAGCTCTAGGGTGTCACTGTGCTCTGACCACCCAACAGAGTTGTAACAGTAACAGTGATATTGCCCTGCATGATGCCTCTCCACTGATGTGATGGAGAACATGGCCTTGGTATCAGGCCTATGAAAAGGTTGTCCTTCCCAGGGAGCTGGGCTTCCTACTTTATGCAGGAAGTATACTTGGGTTTTCGTGGTTCCTTTGCACCAGATAGTCATAGGTTTCCCTATGTTGATAACAGAGCTTGGCTCAGCCCACAGGATGGGCTTCTGAAGGGTCCCTGCAATGAAGTAAGTGAGAAGGAGTTGGGCATTTTGAACAGTTACAGTGAATGTCAAATTTTCAAATAATATTTAAGAAGGTCTGCAACAGTAGAAGGACACATGAGGACCCCATTCTTCCTTCAACTGCTGTGTTTCCACTGCTTATGTCCATCCCTATTTTTTATATCAACATCATATGTTCTGTGACATTGAGCACAGGAGCATGACTTCATTAACCCACCACATATCAGGTCCTTCCCAGTGATCCTGTTCCAGGGCAATTATCATTAAGGACATTCTGGAGCTTCCTTACCTGAGACCAGGAGTTCTAGGTGGTTACTGGGCACTGACCACAGATGGGAGCTGTTCTGGTAATAGCCATAGCATGTGAACCTCCATC